CATTACCTACCCTTTTGTTATAAACAACGTTGCACCTACGGCTATATTAACAAACGTCCTCTTCCTTTTTTTGATATCAATCATCATCAAATCATCCTTTGTTTTTGCCTCTTACGTGTTTTTCTCTCTTCAGATAAAACACACACCCACCACACCTCTCTTCACTCCATTTCCCTAATTTGATAGCGAATTCATCTTTGTCTCTTTCTTCAACTCAACCATACCCAAGTTTGTTTCTCAGATAAACAAATTAATCCTCACATTCTATTCATCTGATTCTACATCGATGAAGGAAACTTCGTCTAATTCGCCGTCATTTCTAGATCGTGTGAGCTTTTGGGATAAATCCAAGGCACATGGCAACCCTACGACCTCGTCAGATCTGAGTGGACCAACTCTTCCCTTGAGCAATCCTCCTACTACCAACGCGCAGAATAACAACAACAACAACACTGCTACCTCTGTTCTTAACAATGCAACCAACATCCCAAGAAATAATGCAAATCATAATGGCTTCAAGAACCAACGTTCAAATCCCACGAGAAACAATGTGGCAGACAATACATCCAACGTCCATCCGCCACCAGCTCCACCTCCGCAAGTTAATGGAGAGGGGAATCTCATAGAATCGAACGAATCCGATAAACCCAAGAAGAAAAATGTTGCCATTCGATTTTGGCTTACCGGCAAACATATTATACTCTCAAGTGTTATCAACATTTTATTGGTATTTGTACCGGTTGGTATCATCGCCTATGCGATTGGGCTCAGTCCAGGTATCATCTTTGCGATGAATGCGATTGCTATTATACCTTTGGCAGGTTTACTCAGTCATGCTACGGAAAGTGTGGCTAAGAGGATGGGTGATACTATTGGTGCTTTGATGAATGTTACTTTTGGTAATGCTGTTGAGCTTATCATTTTGTAAGTTTCCCTCGACACCTCTGTGTGAATATCGAGTCAAGCTAACAATATCAATAGTATGTATGTCTACCTCGTGAGAGATCAAGACAAGAAAGTGCGAGAAGCCCTCTTAAAGGCATTATCATATCAATCGCGTCCCATATCATTATACCCTTTCCATTTCCTTTTGTCTCATGCAAGTCCCTTGTGAAATATTCGTTCAAAACATATGCTCACCTGTTTATCTTTAATCCTATAGCATTGCATTGCAGAAGGTTTGTAAACTTCCCCTCTCCTGTGGGAATTATTCTAACTTTCAACAGAATGAAATCCGTATCGTCCAAGCCTCCTTGCTCGGTTCGATTCTTGCAAATCTACTCTTGATTCTAGGAATGTGTTTTTTGGTTGGTGGACTTCGCTTCCGTGAACAGGTAATTGATTCTTCTTCGGAAAGTTGTGAGCAGTGTTGATATTTACAGATCTATAATAGTACTGTCACACAAATGAGTGCTTGTCTTTTAAGTTTGAGCGTCATGAGTTTATTGCTTCCGGTATGAATTTTCTTCCTTTGGCGTAAACTATGAACTGACAAATATAGACTGCTTTCCATGCATCGTTCAATACTACAACTGCTGCAGATAAGGCTAACACCAAAGTTTTGCAAGTTAGTCGTGGTACTAGTGTCGTAAGTTCCCCATTGTGTTTGTGAGACCTTGTTATACTAACATCTTCCAGATTCTTCTTTTGGTTTATGCCATGTACCTCTTGTTTCAGTTAAAGTCCCACGCATATATGTATGAAAGTACTCCTCAGCATATTATTGATGAGGAATTAGCTCCTGGGCCGGTTGCAGCTTGGATGGACTCATCATCTGATGATTCATCCTCCTCCAGCTCTGACTCTGATGGCTCCAGCGGTTCCAATACTACTGCCAAACGTGTAAAAAGACTCATCAGAGGTGGTAGACGTCGCAAGTCAAGCTCAGCATCGAAAGATACTGTCGAAGTTGAGGCTCTTCGCACACCATCTTTTGGTAACAGCAGTCTCAATCATACAGCTGAAGGTAGTGGGTCCGCTGGTGATGATCATCGTACAGGTGCTATTGACTTTGCAGAGGATGGTGATGATGAACGTCCTAGAAGAAGTCGCACTGGCTCATTCACAAATTATGTCATGACCAAAAAGGAACATAAGAGAGAACGCAAGCAACAGAAGAAGGAACACAAAGCTCGCAAGAGAGCTCTCAGGCACCAAGAAACCATCAAAGAAGGTGTCGTACCTGAAGTTCTCAATGAGAAATCTGCTGAAGTGGTACCGAATGATTCCGATCCACGACGTGTTGATTTTGCCATGATGGAAAATCCTGAAAATCAACAAGATAACGCACAAAAACGACCATTTACCCTTCGCGGAATAACCTCTGGCATTCGACCTCAAATTCCAAAGACATTCTCTCAAAATGTCTTTACCAACCCTGCACCTACTGGTAACCCACCCCCTGGAAATATTCCTCGCGTTCGCATGGGAATTCGTCGCACAAATTCTTTACCCGATCGTCTCAATCAAACTATATCAAATCCAGCCAATCCCACCCCATCAAATCTTGCACCTATTCGCATCAATAGCACAGCTGTTGCAGTCAACAAGGTTCCCATGGATGATGAGGACGAAAATATATCTCGTACTACAGCCGTCGTTTTACTTCTTCTTTCTACTGGTCTTGTAGCCTGTTGTGCCGAATTCATGGTTGATAGTATCAATGCTGTTGTTGAAGGCAATTCTGGTTTGAGTGAGGCTTTTATCGGTCTCATTATCTTACCTATTGTTGGTAATGCGGCCGAGCACGTTACAGCCGTTACGGTAGCTAGTAAGAATAAAATGGATTTGGCAATCGGTGTAGCCGTTGGTTCTTCTATTCAAATCGGTATGTTTTTCAATCACAATATTTAATTCAATTCGAACTAACTCATCATGATAGCTCTCTTCGTCACTCCCTTCATCGTTCTTCTCGGCTGGTGTATGTCCAGAGAAATGACACTATACTTTACGCTCTTTGAAACCGTCTGTCTCTTCGTCTCGGCCTTTATTGTCAATTTCTTGGTTCTCGATGGTCGATCCAATTACCTCGAAGGTGCCCTTCTTTGCGCAGCTTATGTCATTATTGCCGTTGCGGCTTTCTTCTATCCAGCAGAAGATGATCAGAGTAATTTGGGCGGAAATTCAGATGCGGCCAAGATGTTGGTGAGGAGTCTTGTGGGAATTTAATCTTGATGATGATGATGTGAAGAAGTGGTGGAATGGAAGTATGGAGGCGGGTGATGATTTTATGGTGGGATGAGATGGGGGGTTTTTTTTATGATGGAAGTGGATTTATATTATGATTGAGATGTTATGATGATGGATGGATGATGGATGGATGGACGGTGGTGGGTAATGATTGATTGATCGAATGATACTTTTTTCTTTCGCTTTCGCTTCTTGAGCTGACTGGTTTGGTGGTTGATTGATTGATTAATGGATTTATGAATCGAGTTTTTGCTTGAGAGGGCTTACTTTCTTTCTTTCTTTCCTGATTAGGATTGATGATGAATAGCTAGCTAGCTAGCTTGTTCCTTTCTTTCGTTCCGTTCTTCAACTCGAAGAACAACTAACTAACTTGAGATTCTCTCTCCTCTTTTTCTTTAATTAGATAGCTAGCTAGTTGTAATATTCTATTCTATCTAATCTAATCTAATCTAATCTATTCTCATAAATGTATATATAATATCTCTATCTTTCTACTCTAAGTATCTAGATATTATATATATATATAAGAAAAGAAAGTTGATTTTTTTTTAAATTAAATTAAATTGATATAATATATATATAACTTGATATAAATAAACTAAAACCAAATATATATAAATATAAGAAAAACTTACTTTTTCTTTAATAAATAGATATGTAAGATTATTATTTTATATATATATAGATAGCTCTTTAGACTTTTTAGACTCTTTAGACTCTTTAAATAGAATATAGTTGTCACGGGGTGACACTAAGCCCTTTCTGTCCTGTCCTGTCCTGCTATATATGTGAGAGTAAGGTAAGAACTTCCAGTTCTACCTCCTAGTCTTTTGGCGGTTAGCTCAGCGGTAAGCTTCGGATACTCCCAGAAGTGATCCCGTGACAATAGTATAGATATTTAAAATCTATATATATTAATAATAGTATATATAATTAAAAACTCTCTCTCTTATTCTTATTCTTCTTCTTATTCTTTTTCTCTCTCTCTTCTTCTTCTTCTTCTTTATAATCAAACTATTACTACTATCTCTCCTTCTATAATCCCTCTAGTAGAGTATCTATTCAAAGTAGATAGATAGCTTAAAAGTCGAAGAATTATTTAATTAATTTGAGATTCTCTCTCTTTTTTTAAGAAAGAAAAAAGAATTCAATTTTTAATTGATTATTGAGCTATAACGTAATACTATCTATATAGTATAATACTATTCCAAGTCAATCTACTAGATTTTTGTTTGAAAGATTTTATATATCTTATATCTTATATTTTATATTATAAGAAATATCGATTAATTAGATTACTATATACGAGTCTTTAGATTATTATTATTATTATAATATATTTATATAAGTTAATATAATCTAAAGAATATATAGTAGTAGTAGTAAATTCATAATCGATTCGATCTATATAGCTATACTAAGATTATGCGATGCGCCTATATCTGTATCTGATTGAATAAAGTAGATAGGAAAAAGATATAAAAAACCTACCCCCCTCTAGTATCCTATCGAGTCGTCTATATTGTATACCTTTCCTGTCCAACACTGATAGCCCGTGATACCTATACTTTCGAAGACGATGTTATTGAGATTAAGAATATATATACGTTATCTTACTATACTATATTATATTATATTATATTCTCAAGTAGTATAGTATAATAAAAAACCACCTCTTAAAACTTATACAATTAACATCTCACTATTATTTCCTCCTCCTCTCCCTCCTCCTCCTCCCTCCTTCTTCCCTCCCCTCCCCCCATCTTCATCCCCCCATCTTCATCCACCCATCCCATCCCACCCAACCCCCCTCACATCTCCGGACAATTCCCCTCCGCCGCCATAGCATTCATAATATTCTCCACATTCATTCCCTCTCCACCAGCACCACCACCACCACCTTCACCACCACCCTTCCCCAACGACTTAAGATGCGGCAGCGAATCATAAAATTCCTCCTGCGCATCCTCCCGGGTCCCCTCGGCATGAAACCCCTTCCACATCTCCCAAAACGACTGTTCAAAGATATCCTCGTCAGCCCGCATCCGGATGCCGCCTCCATAAACGCCAGAACCGAAGTGTCTAAATCCAAGACTTGCTGCGCAAACTCTTCCGCTTCCAACTGCGCTTGCGTCTTGACGGGCGGCGGTTCGGTACGCGCCGCGTATTCCTTGGCGCTTTCGTGTCGGCCGTCAGCATACGTGATGCCGGTGTCCCCCTGGTCCAGCGTTTCCAGATTAGTTTCCATATCCTCGTCGTCCCACTAATTGAAAATTAGGATAATCAGCCGTTGAATCTCAATGTATTCTGCGGCTTCCAAAAAAGCACCAAAGTGAATGGGGAACTCAAGCAGTCGAGAGTGTATTTTGAGCAAGGCTAGGGAAGTTCAAGAGACGTTTTACTCACCTCACACAAAGCCTCATATCCCGCATCCCAATCAATCAGTGATCGACCTTTGGGCAGAACAATGTCTCTTAGGCTTGTTCCTCCACTGGTGAGTACTTTGCATTCCGTAGTAGTTAGTGGTAAGCGTCGGATGATGCCCTTTGGAGCCCAACTAGAATGAAAACTAGTTAATTTCAGATCTCACAAATTATATTGTCACTCACGTAAGTACTAATCGAATAGGTGCCAAAACCTGTATCAAATCTTCAACTTCTTCTTTGGAAATCGAGCCTAGTCCAACCATGCTCGCTACTCCATCACCCTGTTTGACATCGGCGTTGAACAAAGTAAGGAATGTCTCAATGTCGACGTCCCAGAAGACAGAATGTAGCCATATCTGATCTAAAAATTGGTCGTATTTTCTTGAGAGCGCGTCCATAGCGATGCAGAGTCTCATCCCTTTGATGAGTTTCTTCAAAAAACGTTCATCCCCTGCATCTATCGCCTTGAAGGGTGGAAGATCCGTCTTTGGCCAGCTTGAAGCATGAAGTTGGATGGAGCCACGGTAAGTCGAGATGTCACGAATTCTTCCATGCGGCTGGAATCTTACACGCCATTAGCATCTACGCCTAATATGGAAGTAACATAAATTACCTAAAGAGATACGGGACGGCTTCGCAATGAAGAAGATACGCACGCCATTCTTTGGCACTAATTTCCAGCCCACCAAGTCGTAAAATATACTCACGCTGCGCTTAAAATTAGCTTTACGCCACCATCAAAATTGTGATCAACAGCCCAAGACTGAAAGTCACTCTTACCAAAGTATGCTCAGGCATGGCAAAACACATTGTGTGCAGGGCCAACTCTCGACGATTGTCGATCAAATACGCGCTAATCTCGTCGAACCGAGGACATGGCGGTAGATCTTGATCTCTGAATTCAGCAAGCGTGTCAATTTGTGGTTTTGTTGCCTGGGTGCGCCTTGGCCCTCGAAAGTACGAGCCCTTCGCACAACGGCGGCTGGGGCAGTTGGGACCCTCTGTCGTTTGCGAGGGGGCTCTGAAGTATTCAATGTGTCCGACCTTAACCTGGTATGTTGACCGTTGTTTGGTATGCCCTCAAACTCGATGAACGGATCCCTCATACTACTGAATCTCGTACCATCTTCCTTGAGATCAACCTTTGTACCTATGACCTTTTTATATTTCACAGTTTGTGTTCCATATCTGTCGATCTCAGCTTTTCACTCACAGTGACAACTTTGGAGGAAAAGTAAATTGGACTCACTTCATAACAAAGGATTCAAATCTGCTTTTACTTCCCATATCCACTAAATGTGTCAACATGTCGACGATTTACTAGACGATTGAGGGGACCGATCCACATAAATTCAAGGGGAAAGAGACCAGACCCAGAATATGTAATTTATTATATAGCGATGAATAAAAAGCGGTGCAGTACTTACTATACCAGGTAATAGAAACAGGCCAATATATAGCTGTATAAAAGTCCTATATGGTTCGATGCTAAATCAGCATTGCCAAGTATATTGTGGTAAATTGAATGCGGGAAGAAACAGCTCGAAGGGATGGAGTAATCACCGGTGGTTTTTTGAGTAGGACTGGGTTCCCTTCATTACCGTGAGTGCCGGCGTTGTTTATATCACTGCTTTGAGTAAGACGAAAGGAAAGGTTATTGTTAGTAGCTGTTGCTTACTTGAACACAACTCCTCCCTCTACGATAAGTTAGTGTGATATGATTATGGCCATCGACATATACTTTATGGCTAGGGGCTATACAGACTAGAATATTGGATTGTATGAGGATATTAAATATGCTTACCCAAATCGAGCAACGCATCATCTGGTGCATCACGAAGAGATCGTGTAGTCCGCAAATACCTGAATCGAAATTAATATATTTGCTGATATTCCCCTCGAAAGGGAATCCACCTACACTCTGCTCCATCTAGAAGCGAATGATAACACATCAGTATTCTATAGCTATTAGCATTCAGCAAAGGACTCACCGATATCCCCCTGAAATAATTAGCAAAAGCTCGAAGTAGGTAATGATTTTACTTACATTTCCGAAATTACTTCCTGATGAAAATATATCTCATTGCCGTTATGGTTGGGCAAATAGGTTTTGTATGTTTGCTGAAAAAGGGCATGCTATACTAAGTTAGAGCAAGACGAAGGACATCCAAATCGAGGACTTAAAAAGTAGCGTACACCAAGCTCATGTATGATGGTCTTTGCAACTTCTCCCTGGACCATACGTATTTCTGCAGTATTCAACTTTTCCACAGTTCCAGGAAGCAAAGCTGCGAGGGCATGGAAATCAATGTTTACAATAGAAATGTTGCTTATTGAGCTGGTTAACGTTTGTCCAGCAATACTTCCAAATTTGTGATCTACTGCTAGAACACCGTTTGCTGGATCGGTATAAGAGCTTGTTAGGCGGAAATATATATTCTTAGAATGGCTCAATATTCTGTCTCGGACGTTTCTTCTACCTGCTTCAGTTCCATACACTAGAGGATCTCTAGTATTGAATCGTTTCCAGCCTGAACGTGGTGTCATCAATGTAAAGGGGACCTCCGACTGTGGAATGTCAGTCCACTCGGCGGCAAGCAGACCATCAAACCTACACAGGCAAATTTAATTGTGAACTACATAAAATTGAGGGTATAATTACCATGGCCACAAATCGGCATGTGAGATATACAAGCTTGCTATTCGAATGGATGGAAGTATGACCTCCCACACGATGTCGTCTGTACACTGCCGTCATCATCAGAACCGTCATTTGCACCCGCCATAGGAAGCCTTCCACTTACAGCATTCCAGTACCCATCCAAGTCTCCTCCCAAAGGGAAGTCAGCCAATTGTTTTGGCAAGGGGTAATTCCACTTTTTTCTTTGCATTACAGGATGGATGGTAATGTCCGTATTTGGGTTAATTGCAGTTTCGTCTTCATAGATATGGTAAAGTGGTGCCAAGACATCTAACCTCTCCAACTCCGCCAGCGGTAAATCTGGAGGCAGATCATATTAGCAAAGATCTGTGATGTATAGTGAGATTTACACACCTGCCAAGGAAAGCCTCTGTAGCCAGCGCACATCGTCGGCGAATTTTCTCTCATCATAGGTAGAATGCGGTTTCAAGTTACTGGCGTGAGGCCGCTCTTCAATGGTATAACACCTTGAATTTCTGGCTCGGCGAGATGGCCGTATATGTCCGCAAGCTCAGTACGAGGTATATGCGGTCGCCAACACGGAGGAGGAGGAGGAGGCATGTTCAATAGTAGAGCAAGGACTGTTCGTGAGAAATTTTCAATCTAGTTTAGCTATCTTGCCGATGGATACAATCGAACGCATGCTACGAAAACATTTGCTGCCGCTGTAGAGAGAGAATTGACGACTGTCATTCCAACCAGCACAAAGAAACAAAGAAAGCATACAACCAATGGTTGAAATAAATATACAACAACAAGGATCAAAGACGAATTCGGCCAATGACTACAAGTCCTTTCAAGGATTGATACACCCAAAAAATCTCCTCGGTAAAAATTGCAAGTTTGAAGATATACCAGAATTTGCAAAGACCGCTTGGAATAGATTAGAAAGCCATCACATCAAAATTAAGCTCTCGCCATTTCCCACTTCCAAAAATTTAATATCCCCTACCTTTTCTACATCACCACTCTCGCCATTCTCCTCGGCTTCTCTCTCCAACGCTTCCTTCAGCGTCACAACTTTACGATTCAAAAACCAGCTCACAATTCCTCCACCCACCTTGACCTCATCATGCGTACCAACCCAGTACTTCGCATTCAACAACCTTTGAACCTTAAATCCATTGTGTGCCCCTTTATTCAATTGTGCTCGAGGTAACGAAATGTCCTGCAATCCATGTAATAACGCGAGGGTCTGAATAGGCGGTTGAGCATTTCCCACCAATGTAAGATCTCCAGGGTCGATTCCATGAGGTGTATATATCACAGCTTCAGGTATATCGCCATTCGCATCTTCATCTGAAATATTCCTCTCCGAAAATGTCGAGAATGTAATCATGATAGCAGAATGATAATAGAGCAAATCCACACCCGCTTTCGCCACTCTCGATATACCCACCCAATTTGGTAAATACTCTGTAGAAGACTCTTTCCAATCACCATCAAACCTACATATCTCTTCCACATGATCAAAATGTGCCCAAGATGTTATCGCCACCGCAGCCTTCGCAGTTGCAAAAACCGGAATGGTATTTGGAATTTCGAGTAAAGTGTCCTTGTGCATATGGTCTGTGAATTCATGGCTCACCACCACTGCATCAATCCAGCCTCCATCGCCTGCGATTTCCTTTTCCAGTGCAACTTCCTCAATACTCTTGATGAACTCTTCAATCTCGGCGATACTTTGCACTGCGCTGGGATTGGCATGCCATTGTTGACTGAAGAAGGCAGCAACATCACTTTGGCCACCGCGTAGCCATGGATCAATCAATATGTGATAATATGCTTTATTGAACGAGGTTTCCGCTGTTTTAGGGTACGGTATCGAAAGAAGCCATGTAGTGTCTGCATTCAGATGAGTGATGAGAGGTCGAGAAGTATTGAGAGTATTGCGGATAGACTCGTTGGGAGTGGGTTGAAGTAGCGCGGAAATTAAATTTATGGGTTGATCCATTTTCACTGTACGGGAAGATTATTAGTATGCAGGTTTATGAGAAAATGTAGTTTAGAGTTGGAGTTAGAAAAAGGGTTTCTGCTAGGTTAAATTGTGATAGTGGCGGGTTCACATGAGGAAGGTACGGGGTTTCAATGACGTCTGAATGCCCACGATGGGACTGGTCCAGCTCCACCGGGTTCCCAGGATTAGATATCGTAGGTACTTTGAAGTTCATATATCAAAAACCCAAAACCATCTACTCCTACCAAAGGAATTCAAATTCAAATTGGTTGAATTCTACCATATTAACTTTCGGATTCTAAAGTATGGTTATCATAGCTTTAACTTCTCAATCCTTGAACGAACCATTCGATCAAATTATAACTCACACATCACATCACATCACACGTGCATAACCTCAAAAATCCCAAGTCTTCTTTCAAAAGATGCTGTTTCTGTTTTCACTCTCAATTATTACAAATGATTTACCCAGGGTTCATATCCCCCAATCCATCATCATCTTTCTCCCCTTTCTCTCACTTCGCTTTTCTCTCAATTCTCTTCTCTACTCCCCTCAAAATCCTCCCCTTTCCTCCGTCACAAAGTCTCGCTTCTCGCTTCTCAAGTCTCAAGACCCATCCCCCTCCACACGCATGCTCTATCTCTCATCCCACCTTCAATATTGTAGACCCGCCAAATCTAGCAGTAATCTCCATCCATGAATCAAGCACACGCGTATTTTCTTCTCTCACAAGGAACCCATTATTCGAGACTCCACTACCCACTATCACACCACCCAATAAGATATCCCACTCCCCTTTCTCATCTCATTCCCCACACCGCCAAATTAATAGAGAAGAGAAGGTAATAAAAAAAAGCGAAACAACAACTTTGAAAAGCTAAAGGTAAGAGAAAAATAAACTGTTCGACTACTCTTCACAATCAGACAACACAAATGCTACTCAATTCAACTCCCATAACCCCAAGATATAATCTTATCCACAGCGAAAGCAAAAATAAAAAGCGAGTCAAATATCTCGTCCATCAATGATGAGACTCGCGATCCACAAGTTCAGGTCCAGGTCCAGGTTGAAATCGAGTTGAGCGCGAGAAGATATAACAAGCGAACCATATGATGAAATGCAAGAGAACGCCTGCCCACACTCCACCTCCAACCTCCCGCACCAAAATCCAGCAGGCCCGCCAAGCCGTTCTAGAGAAATGAAAGCAAAGCTTGCTGTCAATCAGACCAAAAGCTGAATCGCAAGTTCCCGGTGCTTTCGCTGAAAGCTTATGCATAAATCCAGAATTGAACAAAGTTTTTATCGTGTATATGTTGAAGTGATATCATTTAAAAAGGATTATTATCTCCAAACGACTTTCACTCTCCACGAGCCTTTCCACGTCTTCGGAAAAAGTCCATGACCTTTCTAGCTGCACCACTACTACCACCATGATCATTGTGTGCATGCTCTTGATCATAAGCATCGGCAAACTTGCGATTGTTCTTCTGTAGTACACCTCTACCATTATTGCGTCCTGATGGTCGTCGCGAGTCTTCATATGAGTTATTATTGTCATTCTGATATGGACCACGTCGACTTTGACCAAATGAAGATTCAGAATCAGTCGTCAATGCCGATTCATCTTGGCGGAAGTTTGCAGGCGGTAAGAATTGTGGTGGGCCACCCATCCTAGAATCTGGATTCTGCTGTTGTGGTTGAGCAAAACGTTGTCTTTCTTGTTGTGCTGGGCTAGCGCGGTTTGGATCATATGCTGCATCCGCATGCTGGTATTCGGCTGTACTTCCACTAACATTTCTGTTGTCCTGCGACGCGTCAAGATGATTACCTTGCATTTCGGGATATGGCTCATAGTGACCGTCGGTTGGAGTGCTAGCAGGTGGGGTATTTGGGTCTTTACCGATACCAATAGATTTCAAAGAGAATGATGCCGGGAGGAGAGAAAATCTTCTTGAAGCTTTTTCCTGAGAACCTGTCGTGGATCGCCCAGCTATACTTCCACTTCTCTTTTTGCCAAACCCAAATGATATGGAGCGTCTAGAGTCTATCGACTGTCTCGAGTCATCGGTATTTATGATATTGGCATTTGACATGCTGACTGGAGGATATGACTTCTTTGGCTTTTCTGAAGATTTCTCTGCGTGTGATTTACCACCAAAAAGCGAATTAGTTCTGCTAAATATGCCCCCGATCGTGTTTGATCTCTTGTGAGTCTTGCTACCCTCAGATGGTACATTTGCAGTTCCTGCTGGAAGTCCTGCGACTCTGGCGAATTTTGGAGCTATAGGTTGAGAAGTTGATTGAGGAGGGTATTCAAAGGTTTGTTCGCCCTGAATCATAGGAGGGGATATATTGTAGCTATTCGAGCTCTTTGGTTGAGGTTGAGACATACGGCCATGAGCATTAGTTCCCGCGACGGTTGGGGCCACAGGCTGGCTGTAAGATCCACGGGTTGGGAAGCCCATAGATCCAGATCTATTAGAAGTCATGGAACCACCGGTAGTTGGTCTTGCGATTGATGGTTGGCCAGTCACTGGGGTCGTATAGTTAATGTCTGAAGCAGCGCGGTGATCCCGAGTAGGTCGAGGAGGTGGAACCATACCTTGTTGTCGCTGTGAGCTTCCCGTTCGTCTTGCCGAGGCTGCTTGTTGGGCTTCTCTTGTCATTGAAGGATCCTGAGGCGATGACTTATCTCCTGCAGGGACATTTCTTCTAGAGCCTTGAGCTCCGGAAATCTCGACTGGGCCTTGGCTGCCAGCACGAGCGCGTGTTCTCGAACCAGATTGAGCACTGGGCGAGTTGGTAGAAGGCTCGCCTCTCTGTGTTTGTGATCTGGGAGCCACATATTCGACCTGTACAGTTCGTCTCTTGTTGTCCTTTGAAGTTTTGGGAGGCGCCTCTTCTCCATCTTGATCCACATGCCCATGTTTCCTACTGAGATCCCCAACGGCTGCGGGTGCCTTTTGTGATTTGGGTTCCCGAACTGAAGCACTTCTCGCAAGTAGAGGAGCTTCTTGAGGTTCATCAGATGGGACAGTAGTGTTGGCAATCTCTACAGTAGTAGTTGTGCTGCTAGTAATGAAGCCAACGACATGCGCATATTCGCTCAGCCAACTGTGTCGAGCAACTTCAAATAGATCTGCACGTTTGCGTGGGTCTGGGACGAGAATACGTCGGAGAAGGTCTCGAGCATGCGGTGTAACATATTCTGGAAAGGTAAGTGGTGTCGAAACTATATATTTGTAGAGAAGGTTAATGTTGTCGCCCTCAGGATTGGCTGGATCATCATCGAAAGGTAGGTATCCTGCAAGCATTGCATACTGAATTCATGTTAGCAGTGCAACTATCAACAGGTGCAAAAAATCAAGACTACCAATATCACTCCGCAACTCCATACATCGACCTTGCGGCCGGTGTATAGCGAATCACTCACAACCAATTCTGGAGCTGCATAGCACGGACTGCCACAACTTGTCTGCATCAGATCTCCTCTCCGCGAGCCGCCAGGTAAAATCTTATCCAACTCCATACGCTTGACGTAGTCACGACTAGCTAAGTTGTACTCGATTTCGTCTCCAAGCTCATCGTCGGGGTTAAAGGTGTTTGCAAAACCAAAATCCGTAATGATAATGTTGCGGTTGCGATCCAGCAGAAGGTTCTCAAGCTTCAAATCTCGGTGAACAATTCCCTTCTTATGTAGATATCCAACACCAGAGACCAATTGAGCAAACAGGCGGCGAGCAGCGTTATCCTTGAGGTATCGGTGGTTGAGAATGTAGTCAAAGAGTTCTCCCCCTGAAGCATACTCCAGAATGATACCAATTTGCTTTTCTGTTTCCACCATCTCATGTAACTGAACAATATTGGGATGGGATATCTCTCGAAGAATGGCGATTTCTCTGTAAATCTTTGCAAGTCTCGTAGGGTTCGTCCCGACACTGTCGCGGCGGATAAGTTTGATAGCGACCTAGGAGGATAAGATTAGCATAGCACCAAATCAATATTCAGTGAAGACTTACTTGAGTACCACCTGCTTGTTTCCAGCCCATTTTCACCTTACCAATTCTCACCTCTCAAGAGTATTGCCCAGATAGTACTCACCGAATTTACTGTTCTTTTCACGTTTCCCAGAGTTTGCTGAGTGATCATGACGGGATCTCTGCTGCCGAGGAGCTTCTTCCACCACGGGAGGAGCTGCAACGACATTAGGTACGGCCTCCGCCATTCGTTCCCTCTCTCGCTCCAAATCCACCTTGGGATCGCTCACAATCACACGATTCAACACCTCACTTGCTTCGTGGGACAGTCCAGCAGGCGAATTGGTACCCGCTGGATGTGATCTATTTTGTGCATTAGGAGGTGGGCCAGCTCTCTGTTCACGACTTCCACTCGGTCTATGCGGTAGAGCTTCAGGTGATTGTTGAGCTCTGCGTCTGGCTCGAGTGGCCGCTGTGGCAGCAGCTGTTGCATCCTCGCTGCTCGTTCCATTGGTTTGTATATTCCTCCTCTCGTGATACTGGTTCTCCTGTGACTGTGCCCGACGTGGGGAATCTCTCGCCCGCTGCTCGTCCGAATGTTCACCTCGTCTTGAACTCGAGCTACGATTTGTGGCCGAAGTGGCAGGCGCTATTGCTGTACTCGGTCTGTTTGAAGAAGATCTTTCCGAGACCATTGGGGGCACACCTCGTTGATGATCGCCCGGAGCCATTGGAGCAAAACTCGAAGGGGATGTGGCGGTGGTTGGGGAGATTTGATTTGAAGGATGATTACTGCGAGGATTTATTGGAGCTGAGTTTGTGGTTACCGAAGGTGAGGTGTACTGGGGTTGGGGAGGTGTGTTTGTAGATGCGCCATTGCCGCTCGGCCTTCGAGATGGTTTTCTTGCAGAGGAGGGAGAAGCGTTGGTGGTGGATTGATTATAGTAAGGGTCTCGCGATTGTTGTGAGCCCGAAGTGTAAGGTCTCCCCGAGGAGGATGGTGCTGCCACTGGAGATTGCGATCCTATTGATGTTGGTTGATGAGGGGCGGTCTGCAAAGCGGCTGAAGACATATCTTGTAAATTTTGCGCACTGTTGTCAATCGCAGATTGGGTGTCTAGCAAGCGGAAATTACCACAACCGTTGCTGAGGCACGATTCAGAAGGTGCTATTATAATTGCGAGGTTTTCGCCGGTCTATCACCTATTTCCACCAACTAACATCATGGGAGGGGGGAGGATCGAGGAAAATTAATTGCACCTTTGGGACAGGGGGATATTGGGAATGCTGGCGATAACAATTATCAATGAGAGGATTGTTGGATATTTTTTTTTAAGTTTTCGACCAAATTTAAAAAAGAGTGTCGCGGCTGGCGCTGGGATTTGGGCGACTATTATGTTTAGATATCGTAGCTCCCTAACGAAAAAGTAGGCGGTCGAGGAATATGGGTTACGGCGGGAACGGCTCCTTTCGTTAGTGTCCGACCCTCTCTTTTTTTTTATGGTCTTTGGTGGTGAATGTATGAGGGTGTATAAGGGTGGAGTGTGAGTGTGAGTGAGTGAGTGTATGTGCGGTTGTTGGCGGATCAATTGAACCCAAAGTTGCTTTGATTTGATTGATTGATTGATTATAATGCGTAGGTAGGTACCAGTAGAGAGCGTAATTAAATGTGGGTGGCTGGGGAGAAAGTAATGCAAGACCCCCAAGATTGGAAATTGAAATTGAGATTGGAGATTGAAATGAATCGAATTGAGTTTTTTGTTTTGGATTTTGAATTTTGGATCTTTGTTTTTTTTCTCGGTCGAATCTCGATGTAGGTAGGTAGGAAGTATGTAAGTACCCTTCTTCTGTTCTACCTCTTGATGGGAGAGAGGGAGAGAGGGAGAGAGGGAGAGAGGAGGGAGAGAGAGGGAAGAAGCAAAAGGTAGGTAGGTAGGTATGTAGGTAGGTAGTCAAGGTAAGGTAAGGTCTGGTGAATTGGGCGAATTGGGTGGGTGAAATGGTGAAAAAGAGGTGAGATGGTAAAATGTAAAATGTGAATGTGAATGTGAATGTGAATGTAATTGTTGTAAATTGTGATGGATGGTAATCTTCTTTGGCGATATTTTATTGGTTGTTATGATTAATCCTTTTTGATTTTCCTTTTCCTTTTCTATTCGTCTGGAGGATTTATTGTGGTTATTGTTTGGGCTTTTCTGCTTCTTGCTTGTGCTTCTCTCTTTTCTAGCTGAACGACAGTATGTAAGTTGGATTGTATGTGGTAAGGTTTTCTTCTTCTTTTTCTTTCAAATGTACAACAAGAAGGTTAAATAGAGAGGGGAGAGAGGGTAGAGAAAGAGAGAGAGAGAGGAGGGGGTGAAGAGAAAGATGGTGAGCGAATGAGTGTAAAACGGTAAGAGAGGGAGAGGGAGAGTAAAGTGAGTGAGGTGGTGGTGGTAGTGTTGTGGGTAAGTCGATTAAAGGAAAAAAGGAATAACAAGGTGGTAAATAAGATCAATCAGGTAATCCCTCAGTCAGGAATATAATAAGGCGTAAGATGGAGGAAATGCAGAGGATAGTGAATCGAGAGACAAGAGAGAGAATTGTACAGAGGAGATCCGATGGATTTGCCCAGGGGTAAAAAGATGTACCTAGAGATGTGCCCACTGCCTAGAGATATCCCTCGAGATATACCCAGCGATATACCCCGAGACCTCTATCAAATCTCGGAAATCTCAGAAATCTCAGATGCGACCTCTATCAAATCTCGTCATCAAGCACCTTGTACCCAGAGCATAAAGCTTTAGAGCATGAAGCTTCGAGATTATGCTCCTTTCCGGAGAGAAGAAGCGTGTTTATAGTGATTTCCCGCCGTTTCGCAGGTGTAACACTGGGCTGATGATGATGTGATGATGTGATGATATGTGATATCAAGGCTTCCAGGGAGTGCTCTGTAAATAAGATATGATAATGATTGGAGTGCTGGGTGCGGGCTGAGTGCTGGGTGCTGGGTGCTGGGTGCTAGGTGCTAGGTGCTAGGCTGTTGTATTGACTATTGACTATTGACTATTGACGGTTGGGTATTGAGTCGGTACAGTATCTAATCTAGGTGGATGCTCATAATTCATTCCCACGTTCCCTGTGTTTGGGTCCTTGGTCCTGGAGTCTTTGGCTCCTTGGGTGTAGATACTGACTGTTGGTGGATGAATACGGAATAGGGAGACTCTCGGTGTAGGTACATGTATAGGTAGGTAGGTGTAGATAGAAACTTGACATAAAAAATAAAAATATAAATAAAAATGTGAATTTGAAATAATCACTTACAATTATTGATCAATCGATATTCCTTTCTTTTTCTCCTTCTTTCCTTTCCTGCCTTTTCTTTCCATATATGTATGTATGTCTGTATAGGTATTATGTTCTCGTATTGTACTGTACTGTACTGTAATGCAATGCACTATCCTGTACTATATTGTAAGTCGGTAAGTACCTAATTGGTCTTTCTTTCTTTCTTTCTTTCTTACCACAACTACAACCACAAATCTTCCCTCGATGATCTGATATATCAACCCTTAAGATTAATAATAAAGATTCTATTCTTCTCTTCTCTTCTCTCGTTCCCTTCTTCTTCTTCTTCTTCTTCCAAGTTCTCTCCCTTCTTCCAATTCCCCAATTCCAACTTTCTCTGGGTCAGCCCAAACCTTCTTTCTCGATCTCTCCCAAGTAATTTCCTTTTCCTTCATTTAGCGAGGTTGGATGGGATGGGGCTCATGGGAGGGACGTTCAAAGTGGGAAAAAGGAGAAGGGAAAATGAAACGCCCAGGGCGGTGGATGAACGGAGCGGGCATCGCACACAAGGGAAGCCAAGCCAATGCAAGGCACGCATGCGGATTGTGAAGTGCATTTCTGATGGGAAAAAGAAATGCATACTTGCACTACCGACACAACCTCTGGACTTGCACTCCCGTGAGATATGAATAGAAAATGGTGGCTGCTGGTTTGCTTGGTTGGGATGGGATGTATGGTATGGTTTGATACTTTTTGAGATTCATACCACGCGGGAACCATAAGGGGAGGATGATGAATGAATGAGATAATGTATAGCATACCTATAGAGAAATAGAGCAAGTTGTAAGAATACTATCGTATGATTCAAATCCAATTCAATAGCTGGCTGGCTGGCTGGCTGGTATCAAAGATTCGTTCGCGTTGGCTGTTGCGTCTAGGTCCTCGTCTTCGGCTTGTGGATGGATATCAGATGGGATGGGTGAAGGAGGTAATCGATCCGGAAAGATATCGAATTTGATACTTTGAAAACGCAAAGTAGGTAGGTAGGTAGGTATTTAGAACACACACAATTCAAAGCAAAGTCCAAAAGAACAAGTCCAATCTTCACGAGCAAAATCTCCATGCAAAAGAACAAGACTTTCTTTTCCTTTTTCCGTCCCTTTCCTCTACATTACATACAATACAAGAGGATCACATAAACTTATTATCAGATCCATCACCCCGAACACTGTGCATGAATCGTCCTGGGGATACCATATTTCCATTTACATCTATGTACGAAGCATCCCCATCCGCAAGCGCACTCTCGCAACGAAAAGGGGGAGAAAAGAGACGAATCAGGTCATTCCTTGATCCATCAGACGAACGAAAGAAATCCCCAGAAATCTCTCCTTCTAGAATTATCATGTACACATTATCATGCATTAACATCATTCCCACCCACCAATCAACCATCAGCGCGTTCGCTCTCGCGTTTTCTCTGGCATAACATCACAAACCTTAAGCCCAAGCTAGCCCATCCCATCCAACGGTGAGCGCGCGAGCGAGCGACCGAACAAAAGAAAACATCTGATTCTGACAGCCTTCTAGCTCGCTCCTCGAACGACAGACGCGGGACCCGCGAATGAGGGGGATCCTAGATGCGAGGCCATGTCTTTCTTGGGATGCATGATGTGGTTCCATAGGTACGCATCCTTTCCCAAATGGCATAAACATCATCATCCAGCGGCAAAACTTTCTTTGCCTTTGCATTGACGTGGCATGCTCAGATCCTGGAGAGGTACTTGGGTACTTATTACTAGGCTTTTAGGGAGGTAGGCTCAAGGTAGGTAGGTTTTCTTTGGATGGGATTGACCGTCTGTTCGTCTGTTCGTCTGTTCGTCTGTGAGTAATAAGTCAGTATGTATGTCCTCTGTTCCGTCGACGAATATTCAGATCGTCATTAGTCCCTTGAATTGTATGTATCTGTCTCTCCGTCTTCCCCCTCTCTAGGATCCCCCGGTGAGTAAATAATCCTCTCTTCATGTACCGGTGAATCCAGATTTTAGTTGAGATCGAATTTGTACACCGTACACTGATGTCGAGATACTAAAGGAAGAACCTTGAGTCTCTTACTACCACTAACTAACTTGGTATTTACTCCATCACAACAAAACGCGTTGTGAAGTCATCATTCATCATCATTATCATCATCGGTAAATTTTCCTTTAATTAATATATCTTCTTTATATCTATATTCTCCGTAAATTCAATTCAAGTATCAACAAGGAAGCCCATCCACACTACACCACACGTACACATACACATACACATTACATTACACAATCTCTCTCACTCTCTCCAAAACCAAAAAATGATCATCTTCATCTTCATCTCAAGTTCTCAATACATCCTCCATCTTTAATTCTCCACTGCGCATCCATCCATCCACCCATCCATTCATTTATTGATACAAACATACAAACAAACATACAAATATACAAATATAGAGCAAACGCAGTACCGGTACTCCACAATATATCTACCCACCTACTACCCACCTACCTATCCACCCGTACCCTCCAATTCAAAATTCAACATCCCGTCCATCTCCTATCCTCCTCTGACTATGACTCTGACTCTGACTCTGACTCTGACTCTGACTCTTGACTCTGACTCTGACTCTTGACTCTTGACTCTGACTCTTGACTCTTGACTCTGACTCTTGACTCTTGACTCTGACTATAAAAAGGGATACTAATATAATAGTATAGGAAATAGGATAGGGTAGGACAGGGTAGGATAGGAAGCGCAGATGTAATACTAT